TGATTCCCATCTTGTCACCTGCCCCTGCCTCTGTCTCTCTGTTTCTGTGTCTCTGTCTCTGTCTCCGTTTCTGTCTCTCTCTCTCTCTCTCTCTCTCTCTCTCTCTCTCTCTCTCTCTCTCTCTCATCAGAATAGTTCTAGGGAGAAACTCATGTGGAGAACTGACGCCAACAGCTGCCTGAATGTGCCCGAGTTCTCTGGCCCCAGTCAAGTCCCCTGAGGCTGTAGCCCCAATCAGCAGCTGAAATGTACCTTCGTGAGACCATGAGCCACGACCGTCCAGTTAAGCTACTGCAAGGATCCTGCCCCTCAGAGACTGAGATAATAAAGGGCTGTTCTTGGAGAACGCTAAGCGCTAGGCTGATTTGTTAGGCAGCTTTGGTAACGGTGAAAGGGCGAGAGTCAGTTTAAAATGAGCAGTTTCTGGAGTCAAAATGTGTGTCTCGAGGTAGGTTCAAGTGGCAGGTCACACAGGGGGCCAGCCGTGAAGGCGCGCACTCCTGGAGTGAGCAGGACCTTTCAGCCTCTTCAGTTCTCTTCCTGAACCCCAGTGCTGGCCGGGCTGAGAAGTGCCAAGGAAGCCTGGGAGGGACAAAGACTCCACGCGCCCTTGGGTGAGTCCTCGGTTCCCCAGCCACCAAGAGCCACAGCCAGGCCTGGCAGCCTTTGTTAGGAGTGGAGGTGGCCATCACATTGCTAGTGCTGGCAGCTGCCCAGGGGTTGGGAGGAGCAATTCGTGCTGGCTCAGCTGCCCTGCCTGGACCCTGAGAGACAGAGGAGAGACCAGAGCGAGAGCCACCCCCGCCACAGCCCGGAGACTGGTGCGTGCCATGTGGGCTGGAGCAGAGAGAGCCAGCAGATCATTGCCTCTGGCAGGGCTGGGGTGAGCTAGGAAAATAAGGCCAGGGACAATGCTGCAGGGTGGGAGTCGGCTTAGAAACATGCATCTCTGCCCTCCGCCTACAGCACAAGCTGCCTGGACTGGAGGGGGCGGGCACCTGTGCGCTCAGTGGCTCAGGCTTCCCTACACTGGCAGACTGAGCTCTAGGGCCCTGGCCCCTCTCTACAGCTCAGTGAAGCAGGGTCCCTCCCCTGGTCACCCCCTAACTCTTCTAAGTGACCTGGAGTTTGCTGTAGTAGGATGACACTGGGCCTGGATGACTCTCGGCGGTTGAAGGGAGCTGCCCCATGTGCTGCAGGGTGCTCAGCGTGGCAGCCTTGGCACCACCCATTGGG